ACGGTCATATGTCAACTACGATGCATGTGAGTGTGTCTGTCTCTGTATGTGTATGTGCCTGTTTGTGTTCATTTATGCACGAAACCTGCATGATGGCTCAAAGTAAAGAATCAAAGGAGATTGCCTCGGAAACAGCGTCAGCATGAATGTTCCAGTAAAGCCAATCGGACACTGGTCAAGAGGAATCCGCCGTCGTCTTCTGGTGGAACCAACCTTCGAATCTCTTCACCCAACACTTTCACTCGACATGGAAGTAAGCTCAACAACATGTATTTCACTCGACCCCTGTCCCCCCTGGGGATGGACGAATTACGCCTCGAATAGCGCAGATGGGAGAGGGGGAAGGGGTCGAGTGAAATACATGTTCCAGGGCGATAGCAGACGGATTCGACGGGGCAGGAGGGAGACTTTGATAGGACCCAGAGAAAGACTACCTAACAATATGACAGACTCTGGTCAACATTCCCCACACAAGGGTCATAGGGGTGATAACGACAGTGTGGAGGGTGAAAGGTTTTCATGAATGCCGCTCAAAGAGCACACCACACTACATCGAATTAAGCACGGTAAAAAGTGTAAGAGTGGAGGTGTGATAGGAGGATATAGGAAATGTAAATAGGCCAGGGCAGCAGGGGAGATACCATAACTGTTTAACACACATTTTGTCAAAAGATAGGCTTCATTTGTCTCTTTGACGATTTGTAGTCTGATGTTACGAGGGGCAAGACTCATTGACGATGCTGGCGAAACGTCTGGGAATGTACCACGTCCACGGTCCTACTCTGGAAATGATGATGCAGACAATGGACTCCAAACAATGTGCCTTCCTCTATGTCTTCCTACCAATATGACCAAGTTGCGAAAACAAGGTCAAACAACTTCTAGATATGTTTTATTTTAAATAAGTAACTCTATTGTTTGTATGACTAATATTATGGCTAACTGCATCTTCAATGGGCAGGCTCTTATGATCATTTAATTGCCCACACATATTTACTTGATGTATTTGTTGTGGCAGTTTGTTATGATACTCTTTCATGACTTCATGCAAGACTAAAGCTACTTTCTAGTCTAGCTTGCTAGAGCGGTCAAACTCAACAATAAGCTCAGGCACTGACCACCAAGTCTCCTGAATTATACTTTTATACAAAGAAGTAGTCTCTTTCTAAAGAGGAGATATACCAGCCTC